CCCAATGGCTCTTTCAGAACTTCTTATGGCAGGTTTAACAGATTTGATTAAACAGAACAACAAATGGAATGAATAGTTTTTCATCTCAAGCAATGAAAAGACTACCAAACCATTATTTAATGATTTCTACCATGTCTTGGCTCCCTGCCTCAAATAAGAATTCCTTTATTTTCATTTTGTAGTTTCATTGTTGTTTTCGTGTGGTGGTGTTTTGTTTTGTTTTCCATTAGTGCTTATTGGATATTTGGGATTTAGCTACCCTTAACCTGACCAGATATATATATATTTTTTACTTCTTTGTATTTTTAAACCATCATATATCTTATTTCAGACTTTTGACTGTAGTGTAAAATTTTACTAATCACTGCTATTCACAAAAATCAGTTTTCATTTGCATGTCCCATGTTCCTGTCTTTACCTGTGCGTTCACTTGGAATATTGTTACATAACCTAAATAAAACTTACTTTTCTCTGTATATTTTTATTTTCTAGTGGACAGTTTCATAAGGGATAATATGAGTGAGAGTCTACTGCCAACAACTAATATCTGGAATCAAATGGACATCTTCAATTTAATTTCTTCTCTTTGAATAAATGAAGATTCAGACTTTGTAATTTTAGTGCCATTAAGTGCAGTGCTTTTTCAGTATTGAAATATTGAAAATGGTTTTGATTTTCCGACTTAAAAAATGGCCAGACATTTCATTAAATACTTATTTTCCTACATTTGTTCTGCTGCAGGTAGTGGATAATTTGCCATTTTTAGTAGTTAAAACGTGGACCTAAATAGCGAATGTATGTACATCACGTGTAAAGATTCTGCATACATCTCAAATATTAAAATTTGCAATATCATTTTCCCTCATTCATAAAATGATCTAGCTGTTTATCATTGTGCTGCTTAGCCTTTTATCTCCTTTTATTTCATTATATATGAAGACTTTCGCTTAAACTTGGGGACTTAGTGCCTTTGAACTGATTATCAGGGAAAATCTCGAAAAATCATTTGAAGGGCTTATATGAAGGAACGCTGCAAATTTTTGTAACTTACCAAGTAACGAATGTTTGTAGAAAATATTGAATTTCTCCTAATTTATTTTCTATTTATGTAGCTTATAAACTTAACATACTGTGTTTTACATTAATTTTTTTTTTTTTTTTGCTTGCTGAATTTAAAATTATATATTAGTGCTACCAAGAGAGGGCAGTGATGTACTATTGGACAGTATCAGATTCAGTTCTATGAAGATCTTTGTAGTAATTGAATGAGTTAGACTAAGACTCTGGATGAGTTATACTGAGCAGTAATGTATTTATCCAAATTTATAGATGTTTTCATTCTTTTGTATTTATTAAAAAATAGTCATAAAATTTATACAGACGTGAAATTGCCAAGGCAAGTATGAATGTATGAAAAGAGAAACATGCAGATACTGTATTTAAAAAGCACTACTTTAAACATAAAACTATTGGGCAATTCTATATGATGCATAGTCATAAACTTTGTAGATTTTTGTTTATTAGTAACATGAGTTTTATAGCATTTTGTTTTAGTTTTTCTTTTTAATATATAATAAGCCAAGGTAGAGTATTTGCTGTATTTTTAAATTAGCTATTATGTTTGCAAACTCATGGATGGCAAGACTACAATCCGAGCCCTAAATTAGAATTTGTAGATACGAAGTGCCAATAGGGACTAAATTAAATAAACCAGCTCATTTGATTGACAGAAAGGAAACTGAGCCACTATCTTACTCATCCTTCCCACATGACTTGTGTATCTTGCAGTATATATGTTAATTTTAAGGAGTTTGAACTATGGTATAGATTGACTTCGCATTGGAAAAATTACCTTTCCTGTTATGGCATGATCACCATCTATGATTTCCATGCAAGACATATAGTCAGACTCAATTTTCTTCATCTCTTAGAGCAGCGGTCCCCAACCTTTTTGGCACAGGGACTGGTACTCCCATGAGAATATAATGCCTGATGCTCTGAGGTGGAGCTGAGACGGCGTTGCTAGCTCTGGGGAGTGGCTGCAAATACACATGAGGCTTCACACCCATGCCTGCCTCTCACTTCTTGCTGTGCGGCCCAGTTCCTGGTACCAGTCCATGGCCTGGGGGCTAGGGACCCCTGCCTTAGAGGATTAGTGATATTTTTGTTCATAAAGGATAGTGGAATTATTGCATTGTACTTTAGAAATAAAATTTTGACTTTCTGAACATAATTTTTCCAAGGCAGAAAGGAAAAAGGATTATTAATAGCTGAATGGATATGGAACCGAACGTGTCCTTGCCTGCACAAATCCTTCCTTCTGTTTTAATACAGAAAGGACAATTTTATCTGTACTACACCTTAAAGAATTACAACTTGGGTTCATGTAAACAAAAGGTTTACATCTAGGGAGTAATGCCCTATTTCTAATAGTTTATATCCAGATACTATTCTTATTTATTGCTGAACCATGAATGATATGCTGGCATATGCTTTCTGGGAACACTGGGATGTGCTGCTCCAGCCAGCCATGGGTGTGATCAGCTTTCCCCAAAACTACATGGGTTGCATGTGCTAAGGGGTGATACTCAAATGTTAGGAATAGTGTTAGGAAAGGGAAGGAGAAAGGAGGATAGAAGCCTGATAAGAAACCAGTAAATAACTGCTAAAAAAAAAATTGTACACACACATAGAGATACATCCAGACATCTCATAAAGGTATGAATCAGTTCTTGATGAAAACCTTAACTTGGAGCCAATTTGCCGTAATTCATAATTTAAATAGGAAAACAATGCTTATGTCACCCAAACATCCCAAGTTACTAAAAAATAAATGAAACAGTAAAATGTATATATCTAACTCTCATGTTAAGGTATAAAATGCTTAAGTCATTCCTTTTTAATTCTAATCTATTAATATGACAGGCGACAAAAATTAGATTTTACACAACCACTGTTGACACACTGCATGTTTTTTTAAGCACCTATATGTGATACCGTTGTTCCACTAATTGTGGTTGGAACGTAATTAGTAGTTTTCTCACGTATGGTTTTGTTACAAATTCTGTATTGCCTTACAGGGATATAAATATACAATTTTTCTGTATAAAAATTGGCTTTGGATGTCTCTGTTTAACAAAGTTTTATCTAAACTACGTCTTAAATAATTAGAACTTGGGTTAGTGGTTAGTGAAACCTCAGTGATGCTTTCATCTCTGGGATTAATGAAAACAACACAGCTAAAGGCTATTTGGTGTGTTCATACAATCTCTGAATTTATAGATAGACATGTTTCTTCTTCAATTCTATAAAGGAGAAATGGTGTTATTAGTTTCCTGTTTTCTTAGAGAAATAATACTATATAAAGGTATCCTTGGTACCCCCAGAGAATTGACACAATCCTTGAATTTTCCTTTTCTCTAAAGGTTCAGCTTGTTTATTTTGTGATAGGAATTACGCTATGCCCTTAGAAGAAAAAGTGACTCGTCAGTTTTAGATTTGTATAACATGCATAAACAGATCAGTTAGAGGTCAATAGATATGCATACCTACCTGTGTTGAAATTTAAGGTGTGTCTTCCTTTAACATCTCCAAGCAAGCATCTCAAGTTCCCATGACTACTATATATACTTTAAGTTGATTTAAATGTGGTACTGTGGATGTTTTTCTTGATTTTCTCAAAAGCCACTGACAGGAGGCATTTGTGTATATAGCAGACTTTGAAAAATATGCTTCGACACAGAAGTTTGTGTCCAAACAACTCAGACACTAAGTTTCCCATATGACATGGCTTTTTATTACCTTGTTTTCCCTATTCTAAATATGCCTCATCTTGCAAATATTGCCTTTAAATATGATCATTGTGGTCTAAGAATTGAATATTGATAAATCACTTGACCTAGATATACTTTTATTATGCCCAGAATTTGTCTTTTATAGCACTAGACTTGTTGTTTTGAGTTAATGTCCTCCAGTCAAAAAACAGGTTTGAGCCATCTTTTGCAAGTACTTTAAACTTATCTCAAACAGAACTAATTAGTTTTGCACTGATACTGGCTCTCTCTAGGGTATTTCTCTGAAATTTATTGTGTCACATAAGTCATAAGTCCAAGAATTATCATAAACTCAGTCTACTTAATGCCTAAGGTGCACTTTTCTCGTTCTACATTTCTCAGTCAGAAATCAGACCTACTTACAGTAGGTTTAAAAAAAATACCAAGTATCTGGTATACAGAAAATTCTTAAATACACAAAAATATGTAAAATGAGTTTAGCAAGTTTGCAGAATACCAAATCAATATATGGAAGTCAACTCTATTAATAAACCAGAAGATGATTTCAATCATAGTAACAAGTAGAATAAAAGACTTAGGGAAAAAACAAAAGAAATAAAAGATCTGAACTAAAAGCTACAAAACGTTGAAAAAAAATTTTTAAAGATAGATGGTGAAATATTGCACGTTCATGAATTGAGATACTCAACATTTTCAAGATAGCAGTTCTCTGATCAATAAATTCAATGCAACATCCTAGCAAGCTTTTTCAGAGAAATTGATAAGATGATCCTAAAATTTATATGAAAATGCAAGATTTATAATAGCCAAAACAATCTTTAAAAAACAGTAATTTTCACTAAAGAGTCAATGAGTGAGAACCATTTACATTCGGTCATTTGCTTTTAAATATAGTCTCATTTTTACATATTCCTGGTTCATTGCCATTCAGCTAGCAACTAGACCCCAATGTAAATTGTCACCATGTTGTTAGTGACACTTAAATAACCATCATAGGCAGAAATAAAACCATTCTCTCTAAAACATGTTCACATCCTAATTCCTGGAACATAGGAATATGTTACATTACATGGCAAAAGGTATTTCACAAATATGATTCAGTTAATGATCTTAAAATGGGAAGGTTATACTGGATTATCTAGGTGGACTCAATCTAACCATATGGATCCTTAAAAGCAGAGAACCTTTTTAACTTGTGGTCAAAGAGACATAAAGAAGCATCATCATAGAGAATTCTATATTGTGACCAAAAAAATTATTAGAACTGAGAAATGAATTCAGTAAAGTAGCAGGATACAAAATTAATATTCAGAAATTGGTTGCATTTTTATACATCAGTAATGAGCTATCAGAGGGAGAAGTTAGGAAAACAATACCATTTACAATTGCATCAAAAAAAAAAAAACCCTAGGAATAAATTTAACCAAGGAGGGAAAAGACCTTTACTCAGAAAATTATAAGACATTAAAGAAGATAAAAATAAATGGGAGCATATATCGTGCTCATGGATAGAAAGAATTAACATCATTAAAATGTCCTTACTACCCAAAGCAATCTACAGAGTCAATGCAATCCCTATCAAAATACCAAAGGCATTTTTCACAGAACTAGAACAAATATTCCTAATATTTATATGAAACCACAAAAGTCCTGAATAGCCACAGCAATCTGAGAAAGAACAACAAATTTGGAAGTATCACACTACCTGATATCAAACTATACTACAAGGCTATAGTAATCAAAACAGCATGGTACTGGCATAAAAACAGACACATAGATCAATGGAACAGAACAGAGCCTCAAAATAAATCCACACCCATAATGTCAATCTATGACAAAGGAGGAAAGAATATATAATGGGGTAAAGACAGTCTCTTCGATAAATGATGCTGAGAAAACTGGACAGATACGTAGAAAAAAATAAAATTGGACCATTTTGTTATACCATATATAAGAATAAACTCAAAATGGATTAAAGACTTAAATATAAGACTCAAAACCATAAAACTCCTAGAAGAAAACACAGTAAACTCTCTGATAGTGCTCTTAGTAATTTTTGGGGGGGGTATGACTCCTCAGGCAAGGGAACAACA